GAGACAGGCAGAGACAGGGTTGGGGGGGGGGGGGGGGGGGGGGGATGGGTTGTGGAGCAGAGACGATATAACGTCAGGCTGTCCTGGATGCAGGCAGAGCTAAAGCCCGCAGGCTGGATAAGCAGCAAACTAGTGGCGCAGCACTAGAGGTAATGGGTAGCCAGGGCTTCTCTGATTCAGTGTTACCAGTCCCTGTTATCCGTGATTTTAAAGTTTGGGTATTCTTGTTTATTGTTTTTTTGGATCCCATCAACATCGCGCTTGTGTCAAAGAGAGAGAGAGAAAGTGCTGACAGCTGCAGAGCAACTGAACCAAAACAGACAGACATAATGAGCAAAACAACGTCAAAGGTTTTAAGAACTGGTGAATTCTTAGGACACAAACGATTACAAATAAAGTGCCGCAAAATAAAATGCGAGAAGAAAATCGGCTAAAGGTAAGGTAAAAAAAAAAAAAAAACCTAACTGGGTGCTACAAATAAAAAGACTGGTGTTATAGTTTCTCTCTGCACCTACGGTAGGCTGTGTATTTAAAATAATAGTGTTGTGTATGCCTATAATGTTTATACTGTAATTTGAAAAAAAAAAACATGAAGCCTAATCATGAAAAAACAAACTAGGATGTAGGCCTATATGGTATTATGTCAGGTGTAAAAGCACATAAATCCTGGTTATCAATACTATTCAATCTGACATGGATGTCAAAGGCATATTTTAAACATAATCATCATAATAAGCCACACAAAACATAGCCTTATACCAGAAAACACATACAAACGTGGGTGTATTTTATGTTGACATTGGCATCGCTTTAACATGATCAGAGGTTACAGTTTTGCTTCTTTTCTATTTACCATTGGATCACAGATTATAGGAGAATTATAAATCAGTGGATCACACCTCAGACTTCAAATGGTTATCATGCGGTCCTGAGCAGGCGCAGAGTGGAGCTGTTTACTGCCCGTGGTGCTGAAGTGTATAACCTGTATAAGCTGCAGTTTGCCATTTGTGCCACACGGGGTCGGTACATGTTCACTCACAAACCTGACCAGCCTTTGACAGAAATGCATTTGTATTACCCTGTAATGACCTTTATTCGCTAAATAAAAGGATTCACAAAGTTATTCAGCTACCAAACAGTAATGACATTTATTTTCTTATTTATGTATTTGGTAGTTTTGGTAGTATTACATTTTTATGGAGTAAATAGAGCGGAGTAAATATTTTCTTGGTTAAACTCAACTATTAACAAGCAGCAACAGAATAACATACAAACAGTTATGAACCAATGTAAATGTTTATTTTCTTGGTCATAGCCATGGCAGGAAATTGAGTTAAACCTTTTCTTCAATGTGGAAGGGACCCAGGGTTACATCACCTTGCCATTCGAAAACTAAGAAAGAAAGGCAGAAGACATGTGTTACAGTAAGCACCTCTGTGGTTGTCCTACAACACAGACACACATTTAACTCATCATGATATTGGTAACATTATATCAACTATGATAAAAATTTTGCAATATGTTGACTGTTCAATTTTCCTATTATAGTATCAAATACTTTAGACAGTTAATTTTTATCAACGTACTTTCCCTTTGAAAGACATCACGCGGCTTCCTGTAAGGATTTTTAGTTCCACTGCCACCACCAGATACACCAATGACAAATGATCCAGGAAAACCGGCGTCAGGGTAGGCAGATACACCACTGGATCCAGATCCACCAGTGCCAGATTGTCCAACTACACCAGAGTCACAGGAGCTACAAGCTGCATCAGCTCCGCTGGCCTCCTTCCAAATACTAATAAAGAGAGGTAGAAACAGTAAATATAGAATCTAGTCCCCAGTCACACATTTCATTAAAACACATGCACACACACACAGACTTGCCCACTGATGTAGGAACAAGATCTATGTTCACTATCGACGTGATCGGCAGCAGATGTTGCTGTCAAATGGCAGGTAATGTAGACCTGTTGGAATAATAGAGGGTTTGGGTCATTATTAGATGCCATTTTTAAATATTAAAATATTAAATCAGTCTTGGAGATCCTAACCATTCCAGCGTTGTCATCCTTGAACCTGAAGGCCTCCATCTGGAACTGAAGCATGTTGTCTACAGTGCGAACCAAGAACTTAGAGTTAGAGCCTGTGATCTTAGCATCAATGAAACACCTATGTGCAGAAAAACAAATAAGATAAAATAACATTAGGGATGGACAACAATGCGTTTGGGTTTGTAAAAATATATTCTTACTGAACAAAACTTAATTTAACTCATCAAACTACCTCACCCATTGTTATCAATGAAGGTATATCTGAGGGTGGAGGTCGCGTCAGGTGTAGGAGCAGCTACACAACTGTCCACATAAATACGGAGGGGAACATGGAAGTACTGCTTGACAACAGCCTGAATATGAATCATGTCTCCCAGGAAATACTGGTAGCTTGACCTCTCACTTTGCCAGTCATCTGTGCAATGAGATAAATGCATTTATAGCAATGTAGACCAATTTTAAATCACAGCTCCAAAAAAGTTAAAATATAAAGAAAATCTTTCTTTAACTCACCAGTCATGAGTTTCAGGGTGAAGTATAAGAATTCCTCAGCCACCTTAACCGCAGAAAATGGGACCCATAGAGGGTCAAGAGGAAGGCTGCTCACATTTTGCTTTCTAAATGATTAAACATGTTTTCTTAGAATGCAATGTAGTTCACAGACTAATGTGCATCATTTTCTTAGGCCAAAGGCTATGGATCACACATCAATCTAAGGTTTTAGTGTCAAATTATGTTATTTATTTCTTACCCCACCTCTTACTGATGGTCTACATACCTTTGGTAGTGACATTCCACAATTACAGCAGCTTGGTTGGTTCTCACCAAAGGAGCAGCACCCATAGGTTGGGGATTATAATTCAGGCTGAAGGTGTAGATGAGGGTATCTTCTGTCATCTGTATTATTACAAACAAATAGCATCATACGTGAACATATTTTATTGTTATTTTAATTAATATTCTCATAAATTAATTATTTATATCTTTTCTCAGTGAATGTCATCTTTGTTGTTCGTACAGCTAATAAGCTGCCACAGTCTTGCAGTTGAACCGTAAAAATCAACACTTGGGCAGCAGTGTCCACTGCAGTAACACCACATTCTCCCAGGGTAAGGTCAGCAGGATGATGAGCTGTCCAATCCCAAAAAAGTCCCTCATGACTTCCACATGAGCCTCCGTCTCTGTGCATGCGACAGCAACAGATATAGCAGCAACAGGCCGTCTCAACTCAAAAGGCCCTGGGGGTTTGACGTCAGGCTTCGGATCTTCAGGGTATCTCCATGTGAGTGGTTGCTCGAATGTCTGCTTTGACTGTTGGAGACCTATAGGCACCGGTGTCCTGGGTACCGGTTTCCCACGTGGTACTGGCCTCGGGTATTTAGGTAGTGAGGGTCTGTAAACATCGTCTCTCCGCTGAGCATCACAGAAGCTGCTGAGCACGGCCAGTGCCACAAAGCTGACAACAGTACACTTCATCACCATGACTTCACAACAAAGAGCGGTCTATTCAGTTCACTAGGTGCTGTTTGGTTGAAATGAGCAGCTACCTTTATAATACAGTGAGCATGTTTACTTCAATTATATTTCCGCCCCTTCTGTTGGCCTCTCCCAATCAGACCTGACAAGCATCCACCTTAGTCAATGACATCAGCTGCTGACAAAAGCGATGCCCACAACTCTGATTAGGTATCTTCAGCTGAGTTTAGATTATTTATTATTCAAATGCATAAAATGTGACTGTGGCAAGAAAATACAAGTAGACTAAAAATAGTCTTTTAAAAAACAACGTACTGTGTTGTGCTTTCACAAATCAACTTAAGGGCAATGTACTAAATGAAAGAAATAATAGCATCATAAGGGTCATTAGAAAGTTTCTATTCACTTTTCTTCAAGCAAATGAAAAATAAAACATGACTAGATGGCAAACATGTACTCAGAAAGTAGTGACCGTGGGTTAGGTCCACCTGCCCTCAACATGACATGTCAAACTCTATATTTTGCCAAAGTCCATTTTGTGAAGGGCTGCAAATCAATATGTCTCTAACCAGGACAAACTGATTTAACCACCAAATCACGTCAGGTGTTTTGTCAGTTTTGCCTGCAGTGAGTCCAGAAAACCTCAGTATGCTCTTCTGTGCTTCTGTTGTTCTCCAGTGATTTTTAGGCAAAGAGATATAAGGAGAAAATAATGCTAATATTTAGTTTAAAACACCAATCAGTTGTGATCTAATGAAGACTCTATTCACCACCTGACAGGAATTTTGGGCTAAGTGAGTCCATGACAACTGTTTGTTTGCCCTTTAAACTATAACATATCTCTCAAACCTCCTTCACAATACAGAGCAGGGACAAGGTTTACAGAATTATTTCTTTCCTTTATTTTATACATTTATTTTTTTCAAATAAGAACACATAAACAGACTTAATTTATTTGAAACCCATATATTTTTTTCTGTGACAAAAAAAAGGTTCACTTAATTTGTTCTGACAATGGAGCTATAATCAAACTAAATATGTATTTAATTCCTCACAATCATTAAAAAATATACTAAGCTAATATTCATTCATATACCCTTTTTAATTTTATATAGTATAGTAATAACTCCAGTTCAACCTATCTGCAATTTAAATTTGACTGATATCTAAGTTTTAAATATCCAAAAGGATAACAAAGATATCTTTAATTAAAATCATAAACTACATTTAGGATATATTCAGTTTGTGTTGCATTTATGGTAAACTGGACTGTACATATTTTAAACAAATGTTTTGACTTGTCATAAACGAATTGCTAGTATACAGTATGTAACTTGCATCAAATTCAATGGAATTAAATTTTTTCTCATACAAGGAGGTTAGACTTCATCATGTTGTAATGTTTTTGTAAATAAACTAAAAGATAAGAAGAGCTATTTGTTTTGTCCTGCCCTGCTGCACAAATACAACATGACCTGCATGTTGTAGGTCATATAGACCCTGTGAAGGTTTTGTTTTGAAATTGTTCAAACAAGCTGGAATTAATTCATTTATAATCAATACCACTGAGTGGACTCCCTATGGCAACCATGACTTAGAATTTAGAGAGAAATACTAGCCATTACATTTTAGTATATATGCAAAAGGATGTTTATTATCAAGTAAACTGTTAGTATCTCGTAATGCATCTTAGTAGATAATGCAGTAAATTGCAGTTTTGAGTTTACTTTTTTGGTCTCTAATCTCTTCAGTAAATCACCACGGACCAACCAGTATTGGAGTACTTGATTGGCAGTCGTGAGCAGGAAATAGGATGTGGGTTATCAAGTCATCATCACCACTACCTTGTAAAACTCAACATATTTGCACTACATTTTTTACAGCATCTGCCATTCTTTTGTTACTCGCTTTGTGCTGTGAAGCCATGGCATTAAAGTTGAGTGGTATTCTTCTAGCACTTCCCTGCTTGGCTGTCTGGCTGATGCTCAATATTTCAAGCAGCTAATATTCCCACCACCACCTCAGCAGCCTCAGCAACCTCTGGCTCTGAAATACCCACCACCACATCAGCAGCAGCAGCAGCAGCAACAGCAACAGCAGCCGCCTCAAGCTCTGAAATACCCACTACCACCACCACCTCAGCAGCCTCGGGCTCCACAATACCAACCACAACCACAAAAGCAGCCTCAGAGACCACAGGTTCCCCAGCAGCCCCATCAGCATCAGCAGCCCCAGCAGCAAGTATTTCAAACTTGTGAAGTGGCTGACTACTACAAGATACAGTGTGGGGCTCCTAGTTTATCTGCTACAGCGTGTAATGCTATAAACTGCTGCTTTGATGGACCCATGTGCTATTATGGCAAAGTTGGTAAGTATGTCTTTATTCCTCACAAGACAACATGAATAATCTACACTTAAGACAGACTTAAATGTGTTCAAATGGTATAGCATGAGTAATGCTTTATAATATGTTGTTCTCAGTGACTCTTCAGTGCACCCAGGGCACCCAGTTCATCGTGGTGGTAGCCAGCAACACCACACTACCCAACTACTTTCCTTTGAAAGGATCAAAACTACAATCCTGTTGGCACCACATCACCTTTTGCCATCTACCAGTTTCCTGCCACTTTCTGCAGCATTGTCATGATGGTAAACACTGTGACTCATTTGACTGTTTTCAATTTGGTTTGTATTCATCTTTGTGTAGATATGTTGACTTTGGTCATTGAGGTTGCCCTGGTTCCTCCATCACCCCCAGTTGCATCTCCTGGACCCCTGCGTGTGAAGCTCAGGTTGGCCAACGGACATGTATTTTGTGTAGTCAGTCTAGAGCAAAAAAGGTGGCCCACGGCTCCTTTTACATGGATGCTGACTACCCCGTCACAAAGGTGCTCAGGGATCCTGTGTACATTCACATCCAAATACTGGAGAGGACTGATCCCAACCTTGTGCTGAGTCTTGGAAGATGCTGGGCAACTTCTGACCCATACCCTCGGAGTCTTCTACTGTGGATTCGTGGCTAAGAGTAAGTGGTCTGACTTGGAGATAGGCATATAGAATTTTTTTTATACCATACTCAATCCCTGTTCCGCACAGTCTCCTCTTGTCATAGCTGACCCTATCGTGACGACCATTACCAGACCATATTGGTCCTTGTGGGTGCCTCATCAGAACAGTTCTTTATTTTCAAGATGTTCATCTTTGTAGCTACTTGGAGCTGTCAATCCCAGAAAGGGAGGGGCTACAGTTCCAGAGGTTATGACACTTCTCAAGGAAAAGGTATTGGATCCTACTATCTTGTTTTGTTTTGCTTGTACATTATTGTTAATATCACCTTATCTACATATTTGCAACCAAGACACTGCAAAACAGAGTGTGTTGCCAACCCTCTCCTGGAAATAATTGTGAACATAGCTGAGCTGCTCCAAAAAGTGGAAGTTGTACAGTATTCACATTGATGATATTCACCACAAATATGGTGTTTGTCTGAAGTGTTTTTGACTAAGATGAATACAGGAAGCTAAATATATCATGTTTGTGATGTGTTATACAAGAACAGCATGGCTTGTGGATATCAGTAAAGTTAAACATATCTTCAAGAGTAAATGATGTCTGACATCAACATGTGTCTTACTTACCTCAGGTTTGACAGCAACTTACAATTGCCCTGAATACACAGCATGTTGTTGTCTGGCTCTGGCTCAGCACCATACCCATGCTACGTTCCAGGCAACTGGGAACTTGGAAATTTCTGACCTCTAACTGGAATAACTACCCTAGAATGCCACTTGAAGTTGGATTTTCTACTTGTGAATTCGGAGAAAAAATATGTAGGGTGAATTCAGGTATATTGGGACATGAGGTAATTTGGGACAGCATAATTTAGGGACAGCATAATTTAATTTCTTTTCCCCTGAAAGTTTTAAGTCAAACTTATTGGTGCTAAGACCTTGCTGTGAATGCACATAACTAAAGTCACATGACATAATTTATGTGTCATCACATGGGGGTGTGTGGTCTGCATCAAACAAGAAGTTGATCCCAAAAAACAAGAGTTAAAAGAAATGACATAGGCTTCAGCTTGATTTTGATCTTGATCTCTCTTTATTGTTATGATGAATTTAAGGTCTGTTACAGAATAGAATAGCACCAAGAAACAGATAAAAAAAATTAAATAAACATGTTTGACAACATGTTGGAGTCTCTAATGATTTTAACATCTTAATCAAAAGTCTATAGCCTGTTGACATTTGCTGATGTAATAATGAATTAAGCTATCACAACAAATGATAGGCTAATACATATCATCATGTAACTTTAGACATATATTTATTTTCTTTTTATTTTATTTATGGTTAAGAAATAAGTTTAAAATACTTTTTGAAATATGTCAATAGGGTTAATGGCTAGGTTGTACACTAATAAAAACTGTGTCCCAAATTACCAAACATGCTGTCCCAAATTACCAAACATGTTCCTGAAAATGAGTTTTGTGTCAACTACAACAAAATGGTGAACCAAGCTTTGTCAAAATAATTTCTTCACATAAAAAAAGCAGACATCTTGAGGAATTCAGAAATATATCATATGATGGGTTACCTTTTTAAATTTATGACATTAAGGAGATCACAAGATAGAATTACATGAATTCACCCTACCACTCAACTTCACCAGTAGCAGGTGAATAACGTCACACAACAATGGCAGCTCCCATGGAAGCACACATAAAACATAAACAGAAAGGCAACATAAAGTGTATCTCCATGTATTTAAATGAAAATAATTCATGCTTTCATACAGTGAAACCTTTTCTGCATGTAAACTGATATAAAACTGTTTTGCCAATGTTATTAGATAGCTGATTACAGTAAATAATCTCTGAAAGTAGGCCTAATCTTCTGTTCACAAGAGTTATTCAGTAAAATGTTAAAAACGCCAGAACATTTGAAAACATTAGGAAGTATAATCTACAACATTTATTGTCTTTTGAGGATTACCACTTCAGTCTATTGTTTTCATTAAAACGGCCATCATTTTAATTAACACCAAGGACAGTGCCGAGGGTGCAACTGGGTGTTCACTTGACAGTTTGTCACAGTCAGTCATGTCTTTCGTCAGGCACCTGGAACGCTCTGAAACTCGGATATTTCCTAATTCCGAGCAGTCTAGAACACGGCATGACTTGTAAAGTTACCTCCTAGTAACGACCAATGAGCTTAGCATGTGAACACGGAAATGAATTGTGATTGGACTTTTGAATACGCCTGTCTGGCTCAGCCCTATGCTGCGTTCCAGGCAACTCGGAACGGGGAAATGTCCGACCTCCAACTAGAAAATGTAGCCTAGTATTGAACGCCACTTGAAATCGGATTTCCAACTTGTGAACTCGGAGAAAAAATATGTACCCCGATTTCACGAGTAGCAGCCGAAATACGTCACACAACAATGGCAGTTCCCATGGAAGCACATATTGTAAATGGTAAACCATAAACTAAAAGGCAACGTAAAGTATTAAATTAAAATAATACATATGCCTACTACTATCAAATAGTAAAACTTGTTCTGCATATAAATTGATGTAGAAATAGTTTCCCAGTTCCGAGCAGTCTGGAACGCGGCGTCACTCTGGCTCACTCCAAATCATCGATTGCTGCGCGTGCGTGGAAGTGAAACAGTAATCTGAATATACTTTAATAGTCGTAATCAACCGCCCCCCACGCAATTGAGACGGTCCAGCCATGTTTGGCTCTTCCGGTTAAGTAACGTTAGCTTTACCGGCGAACTGCGTTTGCCAGCGAGTCCCTCCTGCAGCGTCAGACCGACATTTCAGACCGTTGTGTCTTTACTCTTCGACCGGAAAGTCACGATGCAGTCGGATCGAAATATAACCAGTAACATTAGCAGCAGCAGCTGTGGCGTGGACAGAGCAGGTAAACCGGGGCTTTTCAGCAACATTCATACTGTCACAACAGAAGACACGGGTCCACCGGCGGAGAAGAAAGGAGTGGGAGGCACGGTTATCGTTAACGAGAGAAAGTTGAGGGCCCATAGCCCCTTGTTTGGGGCCAACTGTGATGACGACTCTGAGGCAGAGGCTTTCCGGGATGGGAGAACCGAGGAGGTTGACCGGGACACGAGGGGCAGGGCGTTTGCTTGGTGCCGAGACTTTCTCTCAGGGTCGTGGAAGACCATCAAAGAGGATGATTTTCAAATCAGCATCGTCAGGTAAATAATGTCGGCTGTCCTGAGGATAAACTAACTGTAAGAGCATTGTCATAAACACAGAGAGACTTAAATGTTGAACTCTAACATTAATGTGTAGGGACCGCTATTGTGCGTCCATGGTCTCCAGTAATGACATCATTCACATAGCTCACTGTAACTAATTGTTTCATCTTTACATCTCTGATGATAATGGTTCCCCATCTCGTTTGTCTTGGGATCTTTTAAAATAATGTCTGCTTTTGATCACAGCAAGTTAAATAGCCCTGACTTGTGAGCAGTTCAACAAAAGGGTGACTTTCTTTCTTGGATAGTTTCATTTGAAGGGTTTATAGCGATAAAGAGGGGAATGTATCTGTGTAGGCTATATCACAAGGGGAAAGAAATATATAATTTGTGTACCAGAAGTATGGTGACCCCTGCAATGTTTCTTTGGGCTCCATGAGTACTGTCTAAAGGTATTTTCGCTGTTATTGAAATGTTCTGTCTCTTTGTGATATCTATTCTGCATATCTGCTACACTATAGGGTTACCATTTATTTCTGTAAGGAGCCCTCAACTTAGAGATGCTTAAACTAAACCTGTGTTGTACTGTTTGGAGTTGACTTTGCCTTTATATTCTGGCAGAAGGCATGGCCAGCAAGGGTAAATGCAACACAAAGGTATTCTAAGCAAAATGTTTGGGTGTTGTCTGACTAATATTTATGACGTGAGGTCATGATAACTGTGCTCAGATGTGATAACACTGGTGTTTTTGTTTTGCAGTGGTGGACTGAGTAATCTGCTGTACCTGTGCTGTTTGCCTGACCATGTGCGCTCTGAGGGAGAGGAACCTCGCCAGGTGCTCCTCAGAGTCTATGGTGCCATCTTACAGGTGGGTCAGTCTAGTAGGGGTTCTTGTGAGGTATATTTTCTCCATGAATGTTTGTGGCTGCACATATTTAATAATCATGGAGAGAAAATGATATACCATTGTTTCAGTCAATCTACTTTAGCAGATGGGGCGGCATTAGCTCAGTCTGTTAGAACCCCTGGTGTCGTACGATGGCAGTTCACTGCACCTTATTAGGATGCGTTAAATGCAGAGAACAGAAGTACCCCGCGCCCTCCCTTTTGGGCGGCACGGTGGATTGCACCGTGGTCTCACAGCAAGAAGGTCGCTGGTTCAAACCCCGGTCGTCCCGGCCTTTCTGAGTGGAGTTTGCATGTTCTCCCTGTGTCTGCGTGGGTTTCCTCCGGGTGCTCCGGTTTCCCCCACCATCAAAAACAACAGTTCTTCAGTCAGTGCAATTGACTGGGACACTGATGGAGTTGGTCCCTGCACAGCGACTGCCCACTGCTCCCTCGAGGGATGGGTTAAATGCAGAGAATGAATTTCGCTATGTGTATGTGACAATAAAGTATCTTCTTCTTCTTCATTGCCATTGCCCCTTACATGGAAGCAAACCAAAAACAGCATCGTACTGTGTCTGACTGTGTGTGTTTCTTTGATGCAGGGTGTGGACTCCCTGGTGTTGGAGAGCGTGATGTTTGCCATCCTGGCAGAACGAACTCTTGGGCCAAAACTTTACGGCATCTTCCCTGAGGGACGCTTAGAACAGTACCTTCCGGTATGATGCACACACACACACACTGTGTGCCTCTCTGTGGTGGTTTTGGGGGGGAGCCAATAGGAACCAGTGCCCCTGTAACACAGACCTTGGACCCCCCTGTGACCCTCCTCTTAATGAAAAGTCTACAATAATCATAGTAATATATCTGCCTTGCGTATTATTCATTGCACTGAATTGAGAGTGTCTAAACAAAATGAGCCGTTTCAGTTTCCCTCGTAAAGCAAACATTTATTTCGTGATAGTCTGACAATGTTATAACTGACCACATAGTTGATCACTTAGTTATGGTTTTGAAGCTAGATCTAGACAGGCTGTCACCTTTTCAAGTAAGCTGCTCCTACAAATACCACGCCATCGACACTGTAAAATCAACATCACTGTAATCAGTTTAACACATTGCTCGCCTCAATGTTACATCTACTTGACTCGAAATGTACATTAAACTGAATGCAGCATTGTAGACAATATTTTTTCCCCCTCCTTAAAGGGTAAATTATTATCATAACAATATAATAATACATTGCATTTAAACAGCAGTAGCCTACTGGTCCTACCAGGCTGGACATGCAGTCTGCCAAAATATGTATCCAAGTCCATAATGCACAGATAATGCCCTATCAAGTATTTAATTTTGTGTATACTTCACATCAGGACTAATAACAGGGGTGAATATGGAGATGTTCAATTCAATTTTATTTATATAGCGCCAAATCAAAACAACAGTTATCTCACAGCGCTTTTCATAAAACAGCAGGTCTAGACCGTACTCTATGATGCTATTTACAGAAGCCCAACAGTTCCCACCAAGAGCAAGCACTAGGCGACAGAGGCAAGGAAAAACTTCCTTTTAAGAGGCAGAAACCTCGAGCAGAACCATGGCTCAGGGTGGGCGGCCATCTGCCTCGACCGGTTGGGGGTGGGTGAGAGAGAGAGAGAGACTACACAATATACACACAGAGGTACAGACAGTGAAGGTGATGTTGCTATAGACTAAATGAAAAATGGTACAGATATTTATAATAGTGTTAATGGTAAAAATTGTAATGTTAATAATTATAATAACAATAAGACTAGCAACAATAGTCGTTGCAGCAGAGGGTGTCGAGCAGGAACACGGGGGCAGCAGTTGACTTGCAACCACAGATCCAGACTCCACAGCTCCAGAGCCAGAAAACCTGCAGGAAGTGATAGGAGGAGAGAGGAGAGGGACGAGAAAGCACAAGACTACGGGAAAGGAGAGAAGAAGTGTTAGTAACATGCAATAATGGGATGAGGTTGCATACAGAGGGAGAGAAAGTAGAGGAGAGAGGAGCTCAGTGCATCATGGGAAATCCCCCGGCAGTCTAGGCCTATAGCAGCATAACTAAGGGATGGTTCAGGACTCACCTGAGCCAGCCCTAACTATAAGCTTTATCAAAGAGGAAAGTCTTAAGCCTACTCTTAAATGTGGAGATGGTGTCTGCCTCCTGAACCCAAACTGGAACCTGGTTCCACAGGAGAGGAGCTTGATAGCTGAACGCTCTGGCTCCTAGTCTACTTTTGGAGACTCTAGGAACCACAAGTAACCCTGCATTCTGGGAGCGCAGTGCTCTGGTGGGGTAGTAAGGTACTATGAGCTCTTTAAGATAAGATGGTGCCTGACCATTAAGAGCTTTGTAGGTAAGAAGAATGATTTTAAATTCTATTCTGGATTTTACTGGAAGCCAATGCAGAGAAGCTAAGACAGGAAAAATGTAATCTCTTTTCCTGGTTCCTGTCAGAACACGTGCTGCAGCATTCTGGATCAGCTGAAGAGTCTTAATGGACTTTTTCGAGCAGCCTGATAATAAGGAATTGCAGTAATCCAGCCTAGAAGTAACAAATGCATGGACTAGTTTTTCTGCATAATTTTTAGACAGGATGTTCCAGATTTTCGCAATATTACGTAGGTGAAAAAAGGCGGTCCTTGAAATTTGCTTAATGTGAGACTTAAACGACATGTCCTGATCAAAGATAACTCCAAGATTCCTCACAGTGGTGCTGGAGGCCAGGGCGATGCCATCCAGGGAAACTATATCTTTAGATAATGCGTCACGGAGGTGCTTAGGCTCCAGAGCAATAACTTCAGTTTTATCTGAGTTTAACATGAGAAAATTACAGGTCATCCAGGTTTTAACATCCTGAAGGCACATTTGAAGTTTAGCTAACTGATGAGTTTCATCTGGCTTGATCGATAGATATAACTGAGTATCATCTGCATAACAATGAAAGCTTATGGAATGTTTCCTGATAAAATTGCCTAAAGGAAGCATATATAAAGTGAAGAGGATTGGTCCGAGGATTCCTAGCAAAAGTTATACTGGGATACAAAATACAAACTGGGATCCAGAGAATGTCTAGTATACTAGAGCTTATACTGTTCATTAAGCCTTACAAAGAAGTGTTGCATCAAAGAATGTACTGTAACTTGAGCTAAAGTTAACAGGAACAGGGTTTTTTTGAATAATGTAATTTAATATTATAACTAAGTTACTGGAAAAATCCTGTTTATAAAATAAAGAACTGTAAGTTATTGAAAACATTACATTATATACTAAACAAGACATTTTGAAAGCTTGAACATTGCCTTTGTCTCTTTTGTCCTGGATTGAATGTGGCCCTCTGACAAAACAACTGGCCCCAGTCTGGCCCCCTCAATAAAATTGGTCTAGAACCCCCTCTGCTGCTTCCCACTGCGGTCATCTTCAGCCATTGTGCATTCATGACTTCTGCGTGTGGAAATAATGTGACACATGTCCTTGACCTTCATCATGTTTATTGTGTAAAGCATCCAGGGTCATGTGTAGACTCTTTTGAAAACATTTTTTTGTGGTGTGACTACAAGATAATAATTGCTCCTTTGAAAAATTTAACAATACTATTTAGTTGTAAATGTAAAACAGTCTTTTTTGTGGAGATTTAAAGGTCCTAAGTGTGCTTACTTAACCTAGCTCCTAATATAGAGGAAGCATTTGCAGTAGTAGTCATGTCTCTGTGTCTTTGTTTTCTCAGAATACTCGCATGCGCACAGATCAACTTTCAGATCCAGCCATCTCAGCTGAAATTGCTACCAAGTTGGCATGTTTTCATGAAATGGTTATGCCATTTAACAAAGAGCCTAAGTGGCTGTTTGGGACCATTGACAGGTAAGGACACCCTGATATAACTTTCTTTCTTCTACTAGAACGGTCTGTTTTTTAATACTTTAAATGTACTGTACTTTTTCTCCTTTAGTTACATGGGTCAAGTGATGAAGCTTAATTTTGTACGTGAAGCACATGTGAAGAAGTACAAGAAGCTGATGAAGTTGGACCTGCCTGCTGAACTGGACAGCCTCTAGTGAGTTGTGGCACAGGCCTCAAATGGCCAAATCTTGTACATTTCTTGGAGGGACTTTATACATGTGGTATACATAAAGCCTTAATGTTGTGGTAGGTAGGGTTAAGGAAAAAGCCTCTAGCATCCCCGCTCCCCTCCTTCCAGTACCCACAAGTGTCAGTGAGAGACTGTGCTAAGCTTTCCACTCTGTTTCAAAATGGCTTTGAAACAAGTAGCAGAACTCTGATGCAATCACTATTGTCTAAGCCAAGTGCCAACTCCATGTTGTTTAGTCAGCGCCGTCTCATATTACCTACTGTGATCTCCATCTAGACTTTAGGCAGAGTGGCAGTTTAGCCTGTACAACTACTCATATTTAAGGGCTCCCACCAAAAACCTCAAGAATGGACAATTAACCATCATGTTCCAGATGGTGAGAGGAATGCGGGAGAGCAATAAAACGGTTAAATGGTGTGTGTCAAACCTACTTGTTTTCTGTTGAGGGTACAAAGTAAACCTGTCAGCATGGGGAGTCTCAAACCCAATATCAGACAGCAAATGTGTATTGATTATGTGTTACATGATTAAGTCTATAATGGCTATAGTTGTTTCCAGTCTAATGGCTGACCTTTGTCCCAGTCCTTCCACGACTTCACTGCTGAGTCCTCCTGGCAGTCTGACCTCAATAGCCAATAGAGAATTAGCCCAGTATTTATTGTCTTTATCTATGAACACATTTGTTATCTTGTGGATATGTACCAGGCTCACAAGACTGACATAAAATGTAACAGCCAATACACAGAAATCCTCTGGCCTGCTGCAGTCATCTGAAGTCCTCAATCTCATCTGTGTTGAGATTTTTTTTTCTTTCCACATTCAGGAATTATCCCCTCAGTATATTCAAGATTTCAGTTATGTACTCAAGCCTCTAGAGAGTTGAACACTCGTTGCGTTGAATGGCTTGGTATATACCCATGATACCTCCATACTTTAAATGCCTGATGTCCAGTACAAATAATCAAACCAAAATATGGATAGTTGAATATGAATCAGTAAAACTTTTAAAAAACTATTTGCATAGCACAAGTCATAAATCGAATGCAAGTGCTGAATATGAAATAATTTAAATAAGCATTACTTTAAAAACATTTAAATGAATAAAATAAAACTAAGAACTAATAGTAGTAAAAGTAAAATAAGAAATAACATTAATAAATACAGTGAGGTGTCTATCTCTATGTATTGTTTCATGTATGTTGTCCGAGGGGTGGATTTCAAATGAGTGTGATTCATTGCTTGCGGTGGAGAGTTAACATGAAATGTTTGGGTCTCATTGCCTTAATGTAGCCTTGCCTTTATGAGCTCTTCACTTTTATATTTTATAACTCAACCGAATGTCTTTTCTTTGGGCTTAATTTCTCATAAATGACGAGTAGTAGTAATAATAATAATGTGCGAGTTCCACTGCCTGCAACACTGACGAGCTCTTTCTCTCCTCTCCCTTTTTCTTTCTTCACCTACTCTGTTCATCTGGCTCTTGTCTCCACCACAGTGCGTTGCTGGCAGCGACTCCATCGCCCGTGGTGTTCTGCCACAATGACGTCCAGGAAGGTAAAAACTTATCCTGTCCTCTTATTGCCCCCTAATCCTCACACCTCTAATATGTGCTGACGCTATGGCTTCACTGTCACATTGCCTAGTAGAGCATTATAAAGATGGTTAGGGTGTGGTTATTAAACAGCCCAATTACCAGATTCTTATGTGTCGGGGATGTAAAAAGACTTTCAAAAAATATAACAAAGAAATGCTGCTGAAACAAATTGTCTACCTAGCTTTATTGCCTAGCTTTAATAGGTACAGCTCACGCCTCTGAAGTAGATGAGGTGGCAGAGATTTAGGTTTCTAATGAATGGGACTGTCTCACAAATCAGACCACCACCTTAGATACCGGCAACATTATGCCGGTATGTAATCAAGATTACACCAATGTATATCTCATGTGCATTATTACGGGGCAATAACAGTCTCCGCTTCCTCTGAGAAGCTTTCCGCAAGATGTTAAAAGCTGACCATGTAAATTAGATTGTACAGTGCATGGACTAATGCAATTATACATGACTTTTTTTTTTTTTTTTTTGGTAGCAACATCATATATCGGCAATAGTTCGCCCTGCTCTCAGAATATTTGCATCGGCCATTAAAAAACCCATATTGGTCGACTACTAATTTCCACATACTTTTGTGCATTTAGTGTTATTTATGAGACACTTCTCAAATACTGAGCATATATATGTATTCTACATTAGTTCTTTTTATTGTGAAAATGTGAGTCCAGAAGGATAGTGGTAGCTGAAGAAGTTGTTAGACAATAAATACCCCACACATGGGCACACACATATAAACACACATGGATCACTCTCGTTTTGTAGTCAAGGCCACCCAAACCAAGACCAAGTCATGATCAAGACCAGAGTGTGTTGAGACCGAGACAAGACCAAGACTTTGAGGGGTTGAGACCGAGACCAAGACCAAAGGAGGGTGAGACAGAGTCAAGACCAGGACCAGTGCCGCACACATGACACATGATAAAATGTGGAACATGTAAATCATAGGCACTTCTCAAATTGATCTGAAGAATCCACATTCCCACAAAACCACCCACATACAAACACTGAGAGCTGAAATCAATGTAACCATCTTTATTCAACACTCCCTCCATGGTTTACCATCCACCTAACAAAGTACAATTGTTTTGTGCAAACGGAAGGTTTTCCTGTTTGATTGCATATATCATTTATGTCACATGTCATTTTTGATCTGAAACTCAAGACCTTCAAAAAATGGTCTTGAGACCAAGACCAATCTTGAGTACTACAACACTAAACCAGTCATCATACCACAAATGTGTAGCGACCAGTTTGAATAGTTCAGATACTTGTCACTATGACAGAATACCACTTTGTTATGCAAAGTGATCCTGTGGTCCGAACCTTTTCCTCCTCGTTTTGCCACTGCAGGTAACATTCTGATGCTGGAAGACCGGGACCACACCTCAACAGACAGACTCATGCTGATAGACTTTGAGTACAGCAGTTACAATTACAGGTAATATGTGAACTCTTAATACATTTAGTGTAAAGGGATTGATTTAGTTTTTAGCAAATCCAATGAGTCATTTATTTAAAAATTAGTTTGGGATCCTTTTGCATTAATATGAATATTTTCTTTTATGCAGGGGTTTTGACTTTGGGAACCATTTCTGTGAGTGGATGTATGACTATACCTATAACCAGTGGCCCTTCTTCAAAGCCACACCGGAGAACTATCCCACCAGAGAGCAGCAGGCAAGTCTCAAAACCTTACAGCTAAATGAAAACTGTCCAAATTCTTGCTCTTAGAGCCTCACAAGAATCAAATTTAAACTGAATGACTTAAATACTAATATAGTTTACTCTTATGCTTGGGATAGAATTGCAAAACTCCTTTGTAATGGTAAAATGTTATTATAAGTATCAAAGTTAAAAGACATAAGAGTACCAGAAAACTGGACACCTCAAATGAAATATTTACAGAGAAATATTTATAAAGTCAAACCTTGCATAGCAGTTTAAACTTAGTTTAGTTTAATCCTAAGTGTATGCTATAGATTAGAGAAAAGATCAAATAGTGTGGAGTGGAGGTCAGCTGTTTATTGAAAGACAACCTGCAGTTAAAAGCATTCAGTGCATTAGACAAACATGGTATTGAGGTTTTAGGATCAATGATTTTAACTTTAACTATACAAATGTTCCCAATTTTAAACCTACTATTTGGATATAGTTAATTAAATAGTGTTGTACTCGCTTCTCCCTTGAAGCTCCGACAGATACTTTATACTACAGTGCTGATGTTTGAACCCAAGATCGAAGGTAACCTCCAAAGGGAATAGATGTTTGAAGTGTTGTGGTTACACAGTACCATCTAGTGGTAAAACTTGAGTTTAAGAGAGGGCTGCATCAGATGGTGTTGCACATGTGCACAATCCAATCAATGGAACTGTTAATTAACTTTTTCCCCTTGCAGGACCCTGCCGTCAGATATGTCTTCTTGTGGGGATTATTATTTAAATCATATTTTCCCTTTAATAAATCAACAAGTGATCATTTTACTACATTTATTAACCAATAATTTAGCTTTTTTTCCCAGCTTCATTTTATCAGGGGCTATTTGGCAGAACAGAGAAGATACTCCAACATTACCATTGACCAGACACAAGTTGAAGAGGACATGATAATTGAAGCCAACAGGTAACACTTGGTGTTATAACAACAGCGGTGAATCTGTATAATTAAATGTTATAGCAGAATCACCAATGTCCTGGGGTCTGCACTACGAAGCAAGTTCAGCATACAGAGGATATCTTTTCGTTATCTGGATTGACTAACCCTGACAATCGTGATCAAGATAAGCAGTGACACAACGCTGGTTATAAACTCGGTACATCAACCCAGGGTTTCCCAATCCAGCCATAAGCACAATCACATAAATGAGGCAGTGTCTGCAGCATATGAACAGTTCTAAACATAAACAAGTCTACTGGCAGCAGAGTGTCATATTTTACAAACGAAGCGCCACCTATAATATTAGACAAATACAATGAAGTTAAACAAGGCATGCAAACTCTTCACCTTTCGGCGAAATTCACTGTTTTGAAACCAAAATGGGTCACCTACCTGATTTGTGCAGAAAATACTTAAGTTTCTTTTTGGCCAAGTTTTCCGTTCATATATTTAAAGATTTTCAATTGTCACCTGCCATCTAAGTGTTTAATGCTCACAATTTTCTGAGGGAGGCCCCCAAGACCCCCCAACTCATTCCAGCATTGATGATTTCAACAAAGTAGTTTTAAAATATCATCACATCTTGTTCTCGCGACACCAGTATCCTCTCTTGAGCTAAGTGTATCGTCACACCCCTAATCTGAGCCCTTATGTCCCCACTGCTTTTCAACACAAAGTGATGAATTTGCACGTCGTTACATTTCTGTTGTTGCAGTAGAAGATTGCAAGTTATCTATACATGTAAGCTTAAACAGACCCCTCTTATACTGTCTCTGTATGTTTAATTGCTTGCGTATCCTTATCACCTTTTTTACCCCTAACCAGTTTGCATGCCTGTGAACACATAATCCAGGCTAAAAGCAACACAACAGCAGCTGCCACATGCAGGAAAACAAAAAATCTATATGACTGACTGTATGAATGCCTAAGTTAACAGGCTTATAAATGTGTTGCATTGATGTATTATTATGGCGTTATGACAATTTTAGCCTTATTCTTACAGCTTGACTGTTGTGTTTCGACACTGGCGCGAAACCCTCAGGCACTGGACTGGAAGTAGTTGTTCAAGAATCACTTAAAAAATGTTCCAAACATTGTACGAACAAAATGAAAAAGCATTCATACCCTTAAAAAAATGCTCAAATAATAAACAAATTGATATTAGCCTAGTCTTAATTTGAGTACCAAACTATATGCCCATAATATTCAGCCCAACATAAGAAAAATGAAACCCATTTATTTTAACGGCTGCGACAGGCTGTGTAAAACGGACTTAAGAGCAAACAAAAAATTTAAAAACATAATTCCAGGTGAAAACCCAGGTGTAACCCTGAAGTGACCTCTCTAATGCTTTGTAGTACAGGCACCTGGTTTTGTTTTGTCATCATCATTTTTGTTTTGATTTGTAGGTATGCATTAGCATCACACTTCCTCTGGGGGCTGTGGTCGATCATTCAAGCAAAGATATCCAAGATTGAGTTTGGATATATGGTAAGGAGACATGTTCTTTTTTAGAGTTTGATACAAACACTGGCTGCATGCTATCTATTTCAATACACACAGTAATGTTTGTTACTCATGTATTTAAGAATAAATATGAGTAAACTCGCCCAATAGTAAACCGTTTTGTTTTGCAGGACTATGCCCAGTGTCGTTTTGAAGCCTACTTCAAGCAAAAAAAGCTCTTCTCCTGATTTCCACCATGTTAATTGGATTGTGATGTATGGTTTATTGGTCCTTTATCATTTTCAAGCTAATCTTTCTCTGTTGAGATTCTATGCAGCTCTGCTTTTGAAAAGTAGACATTTATATTTGAACACAGTGCAGCCAATAATTTTATTGAAGAATTTTAGAGCAGGTGTAGCTCTATAGCAATGAATGTTGTTGTTTATTCTTTAAGGGACTCAGTCAATGTGATGTTTAGGTATTCTAATGGCTAATGCTAATGTTTGCCAGAGAATTAATGCCTTAGTCATTTTGTTAAACTTAACCATTAGTCTTGATTTTAGCATGGACATGTTTTGTTTTGTTTTGTTTGTTTTGTTTGTACTTTGCTTAGTGTTTTTAGTCATTCTACCTCATTTCTTTCTTCTCATGTTCATAATTCACAATGGTTATTCTCTAATGGTGGTCCAGTAAATTTAAGTTCAAAGCTTACATACATTCAGCAAATTATTACAAAAGGAAATTTTATAGAGATGCAGCAATTCCCTTGGCCTATTCCGATTTTCTTTTTTTATTTAAAGTGTGACCTTCCGAATCTGATTATACTTCTTTCTAAGAACTATAATTGACAGCATACACAAACATTTAGTAACTTCTTTTTAATGGAATAAGTGTTTTGCTATTCTTCCTGGGGTCCATTCAATTGCTTGTTCATAATAAAACTGACTGTTAAATAACTTCTATATTTCTACACTGCATCAGGTTACAGTATACTATATATTTTATTTGAAAGAATAGGCTACATTACCTTTATTTCTAGTAGATTATTTCTTCTCTCACCATTCTAGTCGCGCAAAAAACACAACTCGTGTTTCACCCGCGATTCCGATTTCACATCATGTGAGGCTGTGACGTGAACCATCATGCTGTGAAGCACAATTGTTGCATCTCTAATATTTTATACAGCATCACTGAAGTCCTAAATACTGTTAATTTAACTAGAACATAGAAGTTTTGGATCAGTCTCTACATTTCTGCTGCACTTGTCCATATTTTAATCTTGTGTCATTTATGTATTATTCAGATCATTTTCTGTTTGTTTTGCCAAGAATCATAACTTGGAACTAACCTGTTAATATTCTTACCTGTGTAACAACAATGTCTATCTGGCACATGTATGCAACCACATCAACCTGAATTGCCTAAATTACATCCAACAATAATTTAAGTCTGAGTTAGAAAAGTCACAGTGTGACTTTCCCTTTACCTTATTTGAATGTAGGGGTGTCGATTCTAAATCGAAAAGCAGGATCAGTGAATCTCTTAATATTTCTTTATTTATTATTAATATTTCTCCACCCCAGCTACTTGCAGGAATTGAGGTTTTTTGGTTTTTTTTTTTTTAAAAAGCATCATTGTCCTAGCAGTTTAGTTGAGGTTGGTCCTCTTTGCACTACTAAAAATGAAATTAAAAGCTAATAAACATGTGTTTAGAAACTATGTCAGTGAAATTGTTTTTATTGTCATTAACTATGTATTTGTCTTAAAAGATATTTTAACAAATGTATTGATACATTTTGGGAGTTACAAAGTTATTCTCATATTACGGGCACATAACTGCTACGTAACTTGAGTGCCCCATGATGACGTCTAGAGCAGAGTGAAGGAGACCATGTTTCATTCCAGAGGGTTGACTGTTGTCCCACCTCCATGTGCCAAGAATAGACCAGCCAGAAAAGATCGAGAGACACTTTAAATCGACTGGATCTGTTACAGAAAGATGGGAATTCTGAAGATATAGCCTTGTGGTGCACTGCACTGTTTTCTTTAACATGCTGTTTCTGCCTGCATGTCGTCTTAAATCCTTCATCTTAGCTGCTTCACTGTTTGGCTATAAAAGTGCACGTGACTGCGGGTGCTGTAGCAGGGAAAAGGAGACGAACCAGTGGAACATGGACTAAACTGACTGGTCTGTCTATTTTCCATTGTAGTGGCTGTTTGGAAGTCTTGTGGATCGCATCTTCAGAGTTTTAACAATCAAATAACATATGGCGCAGACAGTATTAAAACTGTTTTAATGGGCTAAACTTAGAACCAAACAAAACTGTCAGTGAGATGAATCCTCTCAGGCAACTTTTTATGATATTCTTTGAGTGGATAAGCTTATGGCTTAAATATGGCCTTAGGAGACTTTGGGGAGTTTTTCCAATAGTCAACAATTTGATAGAGTCCCCAGGTATCACAGATAGAGAATCATGCAAAGCAGACTCAGAAGAGTGGAAAACCAATGAGGCCCTACGTACATATCACCTTGGAGATGGAGATGAATACATGGTTATAGTCCAAACCAGAACATGTGCATTTCATGTAAGTGAAACAACAAAACACAACTGTACAGGTTAATCAGAAGCTAACTGGAGTCCACAGGTATTTTGGTTTAATCATTTTTTAGGTGGACCTCAGGAGACTCTCAGAGTGCAGCGAATACTTCCGCGCCTTGTCCCAGTCCAGAATGAGAGAGACTGCAGAGAGCCTAATTCACCTGGACCATGTCTCCTCCTCCGTCTTCTACAATCTCCTTGAGTTCTTCTTCTATAATAAGTTTAAAGTCCCTCAGGAGGAGTTGGGCACATACATCCAGGTATGCACACTTATATCTCTGTATTTTATTTATACCAATCGACATCTCATGCCGTCCTTTGCATATTCAGTGCTGTAATTCACCACAAAACCAGCACACCACCTCTTTTTTCTTCCCTTTCTCATTTTGGAGGTCAGCAGCTATCTCCTGGCTGAGGCCTTCCTCTCAAAGTGTCTGTCAGTCCTGGAAGAGGAACTCAGCCCAGTTAACTGTTTGTCCTACCTGAGTCTGGCTCAGGAGATCTGCTGTGTGGAGCTGAAGATGACCGGGTTCACCTACTTGAGTAGAAACCTGCTGGAGCTGCATGACCTCATCAAGTATGCAACATTTACGACTACAGTGTGTAAGATATGGCAAGAATTTTAGTTTAAAACATTGAAAAAATTACTATTATGGGCAGACTGTGAAGATGTAACAGTTCTGACGCTACGTCAAATACATCTTTGTATTGTGTTGCAGAGATAAGTTAACATGCTAACCAGCTAGCCCCAGCTTGTGCTGTAATGTAATACCACTTTGTGCCTTAAGAGGCCCCCTGTTGTTCCATCTGAGAGATGTATGCAAGCCACGAGGCTAGATTACACAAGCTGTCTTAATTTTTTTTGTCAAATAAACTCACAAAATGTCACAAAAGATAATATTGTTACACCAATTGTACTACAGACAGAAAAAAACAAATGTACACCTTCTGAATTCAATGGACAAATTGCTTTGTTAACTCATTTACCAGCTCGGTTCTGGCTAACGCCAATCAGCTGAAGTTATGACCTGAGATGTGATGTGCTGTCCCCTATTTTTTGAAGTATGAATTTGACAGGTGGCAAGTAATCTCAGATCTTACACATTGTACCTTAATGGTATAATTGCATGAAATGACATGAAATCTTTGAAGTGTAATCAGGATTTGCCAAAGGTTTCTTTCTTGCCCCAAAATCTGACTCATATGTTAGGTGTCTGAATGATGAAGAGAAGAACGAAGTTGTCAACCTGAGGACACAAGGAGACCGACGTCTCTGCAGCCTCAGGAAAGAGAACCTGACTTCTTGGAATGACCCAGAAACAGAACGTGCCCGACATATCTTCACCCTGGAAGGGTCAGAGGAGAGCGGAGACTGGTATCCACTTACAGAGCTACCTTTTAGGGCTGATAAGTGGTGTTTCACTACAGTGGTCCTGTATAACTACCTATACATTATAGGAGGCTACCGGCAGCGTGTGAAGAGAGGCTGGGAGTTCAAGATGGCTTCCTTTAGGTATAATCCCTTTACTCATATGTGGATCACCACAGCTCCTCTGATAAAGGTGAGTCTTCTAGCATGTGAATCAAGCTGATGACCTGTCTGTCTTACCAAAAATAATACTTGTCTTGCCTTGTCATCAGTCATTTGTATAATACTAGCGAAAACTGTCACCATCTGTTGCATCCACAGCACAGAAGGCACTTCAGTGCAGTGGCCTGTGAAGGCTGTATTTACGCTGTGGGAGGCTGGTATTTGGACTCACTTGTGACTCCGGACTCCAGCACGGCTCTCTATACAGCTGTGGAACGCTATGATCCATGGGATGACACATGGAGGTCTGTGCCCTCTTTGTCAGTCTTTCGGCTAGGTTTTTGGATTGATAAATTTTGCTGTTTTTTTTTCTAATTGATATGTTTCTCCTTCCGAAAAGTATCCTTTAAGTATTTGTTGGTGTACTAGTGACTGAATATAATATCTGCATTAGGTTTGTCTCCTCACTACCACTGACTGACTTCCAGTTCACCATGTCCTTGTCCCATGACGTGCCCCTTGTCACCAGCCTTGGACACTGTCTCTATGTGTTGGGGAGCATCCAGAGGACTGGAGAGAAACTGCTGCTGCAGTACGACACTGTCCAAGGTAAGGCAGACCAGCATAGCCGTGTTTGGCAAGAGGAATGTGTTGGGTTTTTTTTTTACAGCCCAGAAAGCTCAAACCGACAGTTCAGACCATTTCCTAACATGCTATTTTAGCCATATGACAGGTGGTGCTTCTGTGTTCTCTCCATCTATTAGACTCCTGGTCTGAACTGCTTCCCACCCTTACCCGAGCAGATGTAGACCTCCCCACTCTTTACTTCCTGGGTGCCACTGATAGGCTGCTTGTGATTGGTACAAACAACTCAGAGAATGTGGTGACATCATTCTGTGTGCAGTCCCGGAGGTGGGCACAGGTAAGAATCAACAATAAATAGGATCTGAAGCACGAAGACGTCTTGTCTAATATTTTTAACTTTTTTCTTTTTAGGTGCAGAGGGCTGAGAAAGTGGCATTTGCAGGACAAGGGACAGTTGTAGGTGACCAGATCCTGATGCCAAGTATAGAGCACAACACTGTTGCAAGGATGGATCTCCGAACTCTCTCCCTCAGAGCTCTTCCTCCTCTACCCATCTCCACCCGCTATGAAGCTATCTTTTATCTTCACTTCAATTAATGTTATCGTTAGCTTCTTTGCTGTACTGTACATATTTTGTGATTTTTGTGGCTGAATGTAATACTGCTCAAGTCTTTCTCAAGAATAAGGAGATTCACTCCCTGGGTGAATTATCAATGGTGGGTTATGATTATCTCTTGTGTTTAAAATCTCAGTCCTTTAGTTTAAAGTGTGCTTGGTAGACTATGATTAGACTTACACCTAAAGCAATGAGTAACTGTAGAAGATAAAGAACTTCAAAACTTGACTTTATTGTAAATTATAATTGCGTTTAACTGTGATTCTGTTTGGACTTTGCTTTTTTTTATAGACACTTTTTTTTTTCTAAGAAAATCAACTTGGTGCTGTGTGTGTCTATTCTGTATAGTTTCTGCTGTTCTCCCTTGTATGTCAGATTGAATATTTCAATGGGTTTATTTCGTGGTTAATAAAGGTTATTCATGAATAAGGATCTACATAGGGTATCCTGACATGGAAGACAAAGTCCAAGACTGTTTATTTCTTTGTTTGTTGTTTACATTAACATATATTTTCTAAGCCTTTTATTTTAGGCTAATTCATGCTTGAATCTGCTGATAATATTCTGAGGGTTGTATGCTGTTATACTTATCACACTGTTATATTTTTTATTGCACTCTCATTCATTGACAAAGAAATGTTAAATCCTAATACAGCACTGCAGCAGAATCAGAAACATAGCAGAGCACATGAGGTTAGGCTCTGTCTATGTTTGGTGTCTTGTTACAAAAAGGAGCCTGTCATAGGTGAGAGAGAAAGAGGCAGAAAGAGGGAGAGAGAGAGAGTGGTGTTGAGAAGGGGGAGGAGAGGTAGGGTTGGAAAGCTCAGGATACTACAGTTCTGATCTCACTACCTGAGGAAAGCCAGATGAAGGGCACAGAAGTCACACAGATCACACAAGCCTGAGTACAAAGGAATTTCACTGCCTCACTGCCTCAAACCAAAGTCACAGCTTTGCTGTGCCTGAGCGGATTACACTGACTCTGGTCCGACAAAGGTAAAGTATGTTCTGCCTTGTATTTGTAATTCTTGTTCAGTTCTGCATCTAGTTGTGTTAGCTGCATATGTTTTTTTCTGATAGGAGTGTAAACAGTTTTTTTTTTATTAATTAATAATTCATTTGATCTACATAGATAGATTTTCTTAGGGGGAAAATACTACATTATCAAAATCTGTGTTTTTTGTTGTGTTCAGTCATGTATGTAAAAAAAAAAATAAAAAAATCAGGTGGAAATCATGAAGGGGAAGTTCAATGACACGGTCAAGTGCTGAAAAATAAATGTTTGCTCTTTGTTCAGTTGTATAGTAAAATGAATTCTGGCCTTCAGCTTGTCCGGAAGATTCTCACAGCATTCTATAATACCAAAGGGTTTAGCATTCATCTCTGTTGGTTGTACTCTGTGTTTATATTTTCATGCCCATTTGAGGCTTGCGCACATGTTCAGCCGGTGCACCGCTATATCTGGCCATTGAACTTTGTCCCACTTGGTGACTGTTCAGTCATATGACATGGAAAAAGAAATCCTAGACCTGTCACCCTGGCCATTACATGGAGTGGTTTGTGAACTCCAAACATTTTTGTCTAGAATTGCCAAGGCCATTGCATATAACAGACAATGACTGACATTTTTTCTTGCTGACATCTGTGAATGGCATATCAGTGGCCTTCCCTGTCACATTATGAGCAAACACTTCAGACAAACTGTAATTTTTCTTAAACTTACTCTTTATGAAAATGGTATATTAGTAAAGTAAATAAATTATAAAAGGAATCTAAAATTGTACATGGCTCTGTGGAAATGTGTGTCTTTGCAGCACTTGGGGAATGTATAGGAATAAGAGTGTGCTATCTCATCTTTAAATATTAGAAGGGCTAACACAAAAGCAAGATTATGACACAGATGAAACTGAAAGCACCTAACACTTTAAAATGACTTGAAAGATGGACCTGAAAATAGATTATTTTATTTTTATTTCAAAATCTAAAATTCTGAAAGACATATTGACCACACAAGCTTTTCTGCTGATGACTTAAAACGTTCCACTTTGATTTCCACACCAGTGTTATTCAGAGATGGCTGAGGCACATCAGGCGGTGGGCTTCCAGTTCACAGTGCGCCCAGATGGCGTGGACCTTAAACTGAGCCAAGAGGTCATCAAAACCATCTACCTGTCAGGAGTGACAGCATGGAAGAAGCGAGCCATTCAATTCAAGGTACAAAAATGTGGTGCCACTCAACAAGATCACTAACAAGCTTTCATTAAAGATCTTTTAAGGTATTATAATAGTTATGCATTTTCCTTCACATTGTCTAAACAGAACATAAATGATTAAGATTAATTTTGTGTTAATATTGAATATTGTTGCTTTTCATTTCCAGAATGGTGTATTGGCTGGAGTCTATCCTGCCAGTCCGTCCAGTTGGCTGATAGTTGTGATTGCCATGATGAGTTCCTTGTACATCCGCATAGACCCCTCTCTAGGAATGATTGACACAATCAAGGAAAACCTACCACACAGGTCAGATATCTACTGCAGTGTGTATCATGTCCTTCCTTGTTGTGGTTTAGGTTTTAAGTATTCTAATGGACCTTTAGGTTTGCTTAGATGAGCTATTCCATAAGTCAGCTATCTAAAAACTAAATTTTCTGCAGGATTTCATCTGTTATCCTGTTGTTGACAAAGGCTTTTGCCTTTTCTGAGCAGAGACTATATGTCAGTGCAGACCCGAGCGGTGCTGAGTACCATAATTTTTGCCACTGGACTATGGGTGTTCCTCATCTATCTCTTGAGATACACTCTCAAAGCTCTACTCTCCTACCATGGATGGATTTTTGAATCCCATGGAAAAATGAGCACATCAACCAAAGTGTGGCTGGTACGTTTGTCCTTCTGTCTTTCACTCACTCTTTCTTCTCAATCTTTGTGTTTTGTGAGTCATTAAATTGTCTGGCTGCCAGTACACTATCTTTTTAATCTTCGTGTCCCTAACTAAGTGCAGAGGGTATGGTTGATTCTTGTTAGGATCTGTTATTAAAGTTCATCTTGTATACTGTATTTGTGTTATGTTTTGGGTGTTGTTTGTTACCAGAGCCTGGTGAAGATGTTCTCTGGGCGCAGACCACTGCTCTACAGTTTTCAGGCCTCCTTACCCAGGCTCCCTGTGCCGAGTGTGGATGATACAATTCGCAGGGTTTGTAATTATACAGCATTGACCTTCCATGACCACAAACACACAAGTGAATGTGGCCTGATAGTTTCTTTTAGAAACATGTTAAATACACCTACATGTGGAGTTTGGGGATTTTGGTAACAAACTCTTGTGCACTTTGACAAGTCAGTTTATTGTTATGAAATCCTTGAAACATGTCAAGCTGTGATTGGACTTACTGAGTAAATGCCTGACACGCAGGGGTAGAAGGAATCCAGACTAGTAGAAAACCAACTGTAATCATATCTACACTGCTCAAAAAAATAAAGGGAACACTTAAACAACACAATGTAACTCCAAGTCAATCACACTCCTGTGAAATCAAACTGTCCACTTAGGAAGCAACACTGATTGACAATAAGTTTCACATGCTGTTGTGCAAATGGAATAGACAACAGGTGGAAATTATAGGCAGCAAGACACCCCCAATAAAGGAGTGCTTCTGCAGGTGGTGACCACAGACCACTTCTCAGTTCCTATGCTTCCTGGCTGATGTTTTGGTCACTTTTGAATGCTGGCGGTGCTTTCACTCTAGCGGTAGCATGAGACGGAGTCTCACAAGTGGCTCAGGTAGTGCAGCTCATCCAGGATGGCACATCAATGCGAACTGTGGCAAGAAGGTTTGCTGTGTCTGTCAGCGTAGTGTCCAGAGCATGGAGGCACTACCAGGAGACAGGCCAGTACATCAGGAGACATGGAGGAGGCCATAGGAGGGCAACAACCCAGCAGCAGGACCGCTACCTCCGCCTTTGTGCAAGGAGGAGCACTGCCAGAGCCCTGCAAAATGACCTCCAGCAGGCCACAAATGTGCATGTGTCTGCTCAAACGGTCAGAAACAGACTCCATAAGGTTGGTATGAGGGCCCGACGTCCACAGATGGGGGTTGTGCTTACAGCCCAACACCGTGCAGGACGTTTGGCATTTGCCAGAGAACACCAAGATTGGCAAATTCGCTGGCGCCCTTTGCTCTTCACAGATGAAAGCAGGTTCACACTGAGCACATGTGACAGATGTGACAGAGTCTGGAGACGCCGTGGAGAACGTTCTGCTGCCTGCAACATCCTCCAGCATGACCGGTTTGGCGGTGGGTCAGTAATGGTGTGGGGTGGCATTTCTTTGGGGGGCCGCACAGCCCTCCATGTGCTCGCCAGAGGTAGCCTGACTGCCATTAGGTACCAAGATGAGATCCTCAGACACCTTATGAGACCATATGCTGGTGCGGTTGGCCCTGGGTTCCTCCTAATGGAACACAATGCTAGACCTCATGTGGCTGGAGTGTGTCAGCAGTTCCTGCAAGAGGAAGGCATTGATGCTATGGACTGGCCCGCCCGTTACCCAGACCTGAATCCAACTGAGCACATCTGGGACATCATGTCTCGCTCCATCCACCAACGCCACGTTGCACCACAGACTGTCCAGGAGTTGGCGGATGCTTTAGTCCAGGTCTGGGAGGAGATCCCTCAGGAGACCATCCCCCACCTCATCAGGAGCATGCCCAGGCGTTGTAGGGAGGTCATACAGGCACGTGGAGGCCACACTTGTTTTGAGGACATTACATCAAAGTAGGATCGGCCTGTAGTGTGGTTTTCCACATTGATTTTTAGTGTGACTCCAAATCCAGACCTCCATGGGTTGATAAATTGGATTTCCATTGATAATTTTTGTGTGATTTTGTTGTCAGCACATTCAACTATGTAAAGAAAGGAGTATTTAACGAGATTATTTCATTCATTCAGATCTAGGATGTGTTATTTTAGTGTTCCCTTTATTTTTTTGAGCAGTGTATATTTTATGTCCTTTTCTAACCATTTGATGAATGTAGCTTGTTAGACCACACAGACATAGTTGGACTGCACCACCATCTACTGTTCTTGCGGCCTTCTTGCACCCTGTGAAAGATACAGAAGTACAGTAGTATGTGCTGGATGTTGTTATGTAACTCACCTGCTCTATTATATCTGCTGTGTTTCTGATCTGTTGTCCGCACATCCCACACCATGTTTTTCCCACAGTACCTTGAGTCGGTCCTTCCTCTGCTGGACAGTGAACAGTACAACCAAATGGAGATTTTGGCCAATGAATTTAAAGATTCCGAAGCAGTCCAGCTGCAGAGATACCTAATCCTAAAATCCTGGTGGGCAACAAATTATGTGAGTGTTGTTTACAAGCGACACAACACTGATAGAATAGAACAAAATAGAATAAACTTTAATTGTCATTGTACAGTAAAACCATACAACAAAATTTGTTTGTG